CGGGCAACCCGCGGGGCCCGGCGGAGATGCCAGACGCTCACGCCGCTGCACCGGCGAGAGGCGCCGAGCCCTGCGCAGAGCACACGGCGGCTCAGGACGGGGCTGCTCTCTGGCCAGAGCCAGCGGTGCCCCGGGGCCCTGCCAAGCCCGCACGGCCCCGGCTCTGCGCCGCGGGGGAACTGGCTGCCCGCTGCAGAGCGACGGGTCGTACCTGGGAGCCCGTGCAGCAGAGCTGAGCCCCACCGGCCCCGCTCCCCGCCCGCGGAGAGCCGGCACACGCTTGCCAGGGGGAGAAGGGACCTCTGGGGCCGCCTGGTCCCCACCTGCACCGCAGAGAGTTGGGACCCTGTCCCTGCCTAGCTCGAGGGCCAGGTGGTGGTTCCTCTCCGCAGCCCCTTCCTCCTGCACCGCCACCTCCCGCAAAGCCCACAGCCCCCTCCCTCCGCTCAGCGTGCTGCCGCCCGAGCGGGGCCTGTGGCAGCATCGTGCCAGGGACCCCCGGCCCTCTCCTCCGCAAGACGGAGCTGTGTCCGGGGGCCCTGGGGGCACCGTCCTGCTCTGCCCGGGGAGAGCTGGTGCAGCACGGCAGAGAGGCAGCCGCCACTGCCAGCTCTGCCCAGCCCCTTCACCTGCCCCGGGGGGCTCCAGTGAGCAGCTCGGTGCCAGAGCCAGCACATCAACCGGGGTCGGGGGCCATCACCCGCACTGCCTGCTGCAGCTCCCCCCTTCACCCTCGCACCAGCGAGACCTGCGCCGAGCCGTGAGACACGAATCAGTGCTTAAGGGCTACCTACCACCTGACTGGCCCGTAGACAGCAGCAACCCCAGGACCCCAAACAGGGCATGGGACCCCAAATGGGGCATACACAAGGGTGCCAGGCTCCAGGCCTCCCTGTCCCTCTGCCCCCACATCACTGACAGCACATCTCCCTGCCCCACCTGGGGCCACAGCTGCTCCATGCCCCATGGGCACACATGCTCGGTCCCGGGCAGCACCGCCACGGTGGGGCTGAGGATGCTGGGGGTGGCCCAGCTGCCACCGCCTCTTCTGTGGCCCAGGGTCCTTGCAACCCTCTCCTCCCTGTGGCTGGGGTCACCGAGGCTCCCTCAGGTCACACGTGAGACAGCGGAACCTGCTTGTGGTAGGAGGCCATGCTGGGCAGCACTGTCCTGCCCGCCAGCGCCGGGCTGGCCTCGCTGTACACGGAGGCGCCTGCGGGCTTCCTGGCCCGGCAGCAGCGGGCTGTGAAGCGCCTCCAGGACTCGAGCGTCTTGCCAGACCAGATCCAGACGCCGGAGGTGATGCCCACCACAAGGCACATGAAGTACTTGAGCATGAAGACGGCGTAGTCGGGCTTGGGGCGGTGGGTGTCCCCAGGACAGGAGCAGTTCTGCGCCTGCTCCCACGCCTCCCGGTTGTGCTGCTCGTAGATGTAGCAGGCGATGACGATGGTGGCGGGCACAGTGTAGAGCACGGTGAAGATGCCGATGCGGATCATCAGCTTCTCCAGCTTGTCAGTCTTGGTGCCGCCCTGCTTGATCACGCTGCGGATGCGAAAGAGCGACACAAAGCCGGCCAGCAGGAAGAGGCTGCCGGTGAAGAGATAAACAACCAGCGGTGCCAGCACGAAGCCCCGTAGGTTCTCCAGGCTCTGGTTGCCCACGTAGCAAACCCCAGCCACAGGGTCACCATCCACGGAGCTGAGTGCCAGTACAGCGATGGATTTGGCACTGGGAATGAGCCAGGCAGCCAGGTGGAAGTACTGCGCGTAGCTGGCGATGGCCTCGTTGCCCCACTTCATGCCGGCAGCCAGGAACCAGGTGAGGGACAGGATGACCCACCAGATGGAGCTGGCCATGCCGAAGAAGTAGAGGAGAAGGAAAACGACGGTGCAGAGGGCAGGGCCCGTGGTCTCATAGTGGATGTGGTGGTGCTCCGGGTTGCAAGCCACGCTGGCATGCCCCGCCACCAGCCGCACGATGTAGCCCACAGAGACGAAGAGGTAGCAAGCGGAGAGGAAGATGATGGGACGCTCGGGGTACTTGAAGCGCTCCATGTCGATGAGGAAGGTGGCCACGGTGGTGGAGGTGGAGAGGAAGCAGAGGATGGACCAGAGGCCGATCCAGAAGGTGGCGAAGGTCTTCTCATCCTGCGTAAAGTAGGGCTGGTAGCAGGGGATGGCACAGTTGGGTACCTGCCCAGTCCTGATGCGGTTGTACAGCGGATGGGACTCCTTGGAGATGGGGATCAGGGGCGCTTTGCACTTGCACGTCCGGCCACAGTCCAGCCCCGAGGGGCGCTGCCCGTCGTGGGGCGTCAGGTTTTTGGCCCCGTCCTTGGCCGGGCGCGTGGGCTTCCCGAAGAACGGCGGCAGGGTGGTGGCTTCCGTGCGGTTGTAGCCCATGCAGAGCACCTCCGTGTCCCCCAGCACCGGCAGGCTGTCGCAGCTCATCCTCTCGGGCCAGGCAAAGCCGTACTGCTGCATGATGGGCGAGCAGCCGGCCTTGGCCCGCTCGCAGACGGAGCGGCAGGGGGGCAGCGGCTTGGTGTAGTCGGGCAGGCAGATGGGGGTGTACATGCTGCAGAGGAAGAAGCGCAGGTCCGGGGAGCACTGGATCTCCACCAGCGGCCAGAACTGGTGCACCTCCAGCCCGGCCTCGTCCTGCGTGTCGTGGTTGAACTGGTTGGGCATGTAGGTGAGGTTGTAGCCGATGCCCTTGCACATCGGCACCGTGATCTCCTGGCACACCAGCGCCTTGGAGGCGGCGCGCCCCGCCGCCGGCAGCCCCAGCAGCAGCGGCAGCC